TAAGAATCTTCTTTGAAGAACTTCTAATGAATTCAAGTAAGTTCGAGCTACTCCTCCCCAACCTTTAATTCCACACCTGATATGAGATTCTATTAAACTTTCATATATAGTTTTCTTTTGCTTAAAATCTAGAAACTCTGAGATCTGTCTGAATCGTAATTTTTTTAGGAGAAAATTGATATGAATATTCCACCTCAAGTTGCTGTCGATAAAAATTCCTAGATATTTTATTTGATTTGAAGGGGGTATTTTTATTGTTTTCTGAATGGTTAGTTCAAATGTTGGAAGAGACGATTGATGATAATAAAACGGTAGGTATAAAGTTTTTTTAAAATTAATCGAAAGTAATCTACTATCAAACCAAGTTTTAAGTTTTAATAAGTGCTTTTCAGCTTTGTTTTTAAGACTAAACCAATTGTCGTCATTATAAAATATTACCGTATCATCGGCAAACCATGGAAACCTTCAAAATATAGTGTACTATGCTCTAGACAGTTTGAAGAAAACTGTTTCTATAGAAATTCTGTACATTTTGTTCGTCTAAAAGATTATGCGATTCCGTCTTTGCTGAATCCAAGTTTAGTTCTCTTATCAGATGTGGTCGGTCACATGAAACAATTAAAAGGAACCAAAAGAGATTAACTCATATGTGCACGCAGTTTAGATCAGCAAAGAAAACTAATATTTCGTGCAATTTTTTTATTGAAATAGCAAGGCACTTTCGGCATTTAGCCATCTTAATGCTTATCGTCAAGCAAAAAAGTCCTTCAATGTCGGTTTTCATCGTTATTTCAATAATGAACTATTGAAGAATCCTATCTTGCTAAGTCACCGTTTTTAATGAGTTGTTAAAAAGTGTATTGTTAATTTGTTTAAATTTCAAAGTTTAAGACCTTCTAATTAAAGATTTTCGTTAAGGCAAAGTAAACAATAAGAACTAAAGATGGTGTAATACTTTGCTGGACATCAAAAAGAATTTTCCAGAAAAATTATATATATTTCTGGTCTCATATTTTTAAGAATTTATTCTATAATTTAGATACAGTCTAGAAAGAAAGTCACAAAATTCGAGAAATCTTCTTCAATTTGGTTACAAAAAACCTCTATCTACAAAAAATTTTGACAATATTTTAATATTTTTGGATATGGCCGATAAATATATTGACGGCTTAAAAACACATTGCAATGGGCAATTATTATTAGACAGTGGGAGGCATACGAGATTTTTAGGATTACAAGTCTGTATCCACGGTACCAAATGTTTATTTAATTCTTTAGTTGTGCAAAACAATTTATTATCTTTCTTACCAAAATATAAAATCTCCCAGGATAACTTGGAATTATTTTTTTGTTCGATCCGTTTACATGGGGGTTATAATAAAAACCCCACAGTAAGACAATTTGTGTCAGCCTATAAAAAGCTACTCGTCCATGTAGAGTTATGTGAAAATTTTCGTGGGAACTGTATACCCTTAGAAGAGATTAGTATTTTAAAGTGCGATGTAGTCGACAACTTAATTAACATCAACTGGATATTCATTTTCCAATCAAGCACAAGATTATGAAAATGATCCCTTTGAAATTATTGAATTCATCGAATTAGATCACGGTTATGTACAAGATCCCTGTATTACTCCATTTTCAAAATATGTAATTAGTTACATCGCGGGTTACGTTGTTCATTCCATAAATAAAAAAAATATATTCTGGACAATGTTCTCAAGCACTAATAATACAAAAAATATTAATATATATTCATTCATAGATATGAAAAATAAAAACAAATTGCATTACCCATCAGAAGATGTTATCGCTATCTGTATGGCATGTGAAAAGCTTTTAAAAATCAGATTTATTAGTTTCTGAAAAACAGATTTCACTTGACATCTTGATTCAGTTAGTATTAAGTCAGTTTTTGATAATCACAGAATATTATTATTGAAATGTGTTGCGAGCAGGTATCTAAATGTAAGAATGTGCTATTTATCAAAAAATAAAGCAAATAAGAAAATTAGCATAAAACACCATAGTAATAAGATGGTTTTATTTGAAGGGAAATAAAACATTTAAAAAAAATGACTTTTAATTTACCCAGATAAAATCATTTATTCTAATTAAAAAATATGTGTTGAAATTAAAGCAATTTTTTTGAACAATACATTTTTTATATTTTCTTAACATTAGTTAAATATTTTCATTCCGACAATCTTCAAATATAAAATTACTGACTTCAAATCAAAGTACTACTCTGTCTACGTCGCCATTTTAATTACATTTTTCTGTCAGTCTTAGCATCGCTAAGTGCGTCCATATGTCTTATAGCAAAATAGTGTTTATGTCGTCTCTACTTTATTCTATCTCGATGCATGTAACCAACCTTATTACGCCAAGATCTTCAATTATTTCAATAATAAATATATTTTTTAATCCGGGCCCAACTTTTCCGTCGAATCTAACAGAGATAGCACCATTCCGTCTCGCTTGGTTCTCAACCACCACATCAAAGACGCCGACACGGAGTTGTGGAGCTGTAATGTATAAGCTGTGCTAGATCCATTATCACGTTCTACCTGTAAAGATCTCGAAAGCACCTCCACCATAGTCGTCACATATGTTTTGTCTTAAGGGGTTTAATTATGTATTATAATCGGACAAGTTGAGCTTCAAAGGCCAAATAAGACACAGAGGGACTTGGAGGATTAGAGCATGACTCAATAATAAAATGGCTCACATTACAATATATTTCTAATTTGCTGCTAATAAGAACTTAATCTTTTTTATTGGAATGAACAACTGTTTCTAATGACGAAAATTGTAAAACCGCTTCATTAATTTTTTGCTCCAGACAATCAATTTTTTTACACATTTTTCCAAAGTGTTCATCTATCTTGGCAGTTAGTTTCGGCAGTAATTTGTTTATTACAGATTCTGAGTATATTCAGTTGAGGTGGAATTGTTTCTGGTTTTAGCCATTTTGAATATTTTTCAAAGAGCAGCTGGCAACAATATACATTTAATAAATGTGGAATTTACCTCGGATTTGTTCAAATTAACTTTTATAACAGACATGTAATACTAAAATTTTCTGTTTATGATTCTATCTAACAATTTGTATCTCATGAAACCAAAAAAATAAATTCAATGTGTAACAATACCACTTAAAACTTTTAAATTAGTAGGAGCTCATAAGCTTATGTTACCTGGAAGATATCTACCTATATAACAAATACGTAACATTTTCCTCTTTACTTTCAGTAAGATTATCTGAATTGTAAGCATTGAATATTACATTCAGCAATGATTAATTCCTTAGTTTATATAACCTTAAGCTTGTAAGACATATTGTAATCAAACCCATTCTCTTAGAAATCAACATCTTAGGAAGTTTCCCGTTAGTACGCACAAAACACCCCACAACTAGATCCCCGGAACTCCTTGAAACGAATCGCTCGGAAGTATTTTATTGGAAGTTCGAAATTTCGAGTAGCAAATTGTTTTGACAGGGATAAATGCAGTGATCATTTACTACAACAATGAAGCCGTAACTCCAATCCAAGTTTTACCATCTAAGTTTCGCTATTTTCATTAGAAGTTCGATCTCTTAGCTGCGAAGGAATGTCTTAAACACAGTCAAAGTTGATATTGATCAGCGAGAGAGGCGGATAATCTGAAATGCGCCTCTGTTTCAAATTAGAAAATAAATACACTTTTTAATGTAATAATGAAAGTAGTCTAATTTTGTTAACAGAAGTACTTGTTAACGTCTGGTTTTCTTCTTAAGTAAAATATCTAATTACTTAAAAATGGAAAACACATAAAACTATATAATGAGTCTATGGGCCATTTAATCACAAAGTGTTTAGAATATGAATTAAAAAAAAATATTTTTTCTACAAGTGCTATGAAATGTAGCGTATTTCTCATAGCTTACTTAATTTTTAAATTATGTATTGCTCATGTTGTGAGAAATATTTTTTTTCACGGCACTTTAGCTGCTGTTCAATTTTAAATAGTCACAACTGTCAGATCATTATAGTTTTTTAAATTTTGGTTTATCTTGAAAAAAGTGCTGGGAGCTCTCAGGATAGTGGGCAACGTAGTGTAAAGAGGCAAAAAATTAATGACGCTAGGAATGAAAGTGTTAGTGATTCACAAAATATTAGTGATGTATCCCTGTGTGATCATGAGGAAGTTTCAAACATTGAAATGGCACCATTACCGTATGAAAAGCTGACGGTTGAAGAAAAGGTAGCTGTACAAAGTTTGTTAGCTTTAGGTGAAGAGCCAAAACAAAAGTTTGTTGATAAAAATATGCAAATATCAAGTGCGGATCTTCACATAACATTTACATCAACCATAAAAGAAGATAAGCATTTAAACTCTTTAACTGGCATACCTTCTTTTAAACTTTTAAATGCTTTAACTTTGCTTGTACAACAAAATTATCCTAATACAAAGCAACGAAAATTATTAGTAAAAGACAAAATTATTTTTGTTTTTATGAAACTTAAAATGGCTTTAAAATTTAACGTCCTTTCTTTTTTATTTCAAATATCGCCTTCCTCATGTAAAGTGGTTTTTTTTGACTATGTGGATGACCATTCAAACATTTGAAATTGAGCATTTACTGGCCAACATATTATGAAGAATGCGAATAAAATATTCCCATATGTTTTCATGATTTTAGGTCTGTAAGAATAGTGTTAGACTGTCCAGAAATCCCAATAGAAAGACCAAAGTGTTTATGTTGTAGGGTAAGAACTTATTCCCATTATAAAGGCAGGCCAACCATAAAAATAATGACTGGTGTTAGTTCGGCAGGTTTAATAACATTTTTGTCCAGAAGTTATGGTGGTAGAATTTCGGACAAAGCAATTTTTGAGCAAAGCCATCTAATAAATAAATTACAAACGAGTTAAGATAGTATCATGGTTGATAAGGGTTTTCTTATAGACAAAATTTGTCAGGACCATTTTATAAAATTGATTAGATCACATTTTCTACGACAAAAAAAAACAATTTAGTGAATCTGAATCGAAAGAAAATGTGTTAATATCTAGGGCTAGAGTACATATTGAGCGAGTCAACCAAAGAATTAAGATTTTTAATATTCTAAATAATCCTTTATCAAATACTTTGATACCTTCTATTAATAAAATTATGATTATAATATTATAAACAAAAAAAAAAAAATTAAGTAGGATTTGTACAAACAAAATGTAATAAATTATTAAAATATTTACACGTTTTGTGTCCAACATTTTTGTGGCAAACTGTACTAGTATATTTAAAAATTTTTTAGAAGACGATAAATATAAAATTAAACCACAAACTTGTAAATTTAGAATTGCCATTCCCAACTGTACCTGGCCATAGTAAGAGTGGTTTTTCTTTAGACAAATACCCTGTTTTACAGTTACTTCTAAATATGAACAGGTACGTATTAAATTTATTGATACGTTCTCTATACCTAAAAAAATACATGTTTACATACAAGTAAATTAAAATATAACACTTATAGGTTTAATCCAAACAATTAATCTTACTATCATAAGGACATTTGTTGTCGACTAATCTTTCAGGGACTCCGTTTACTAATACGACCATATCCGGAGAATAAGCAAGCCGTGGAAATTTTTGGCAAATAACCAAACCCATTTCAATAACATTGTTGTTCTTGCTATATATTTCCAATGCCTCCTTTTCATACTTATTTCCGTGGTCAGTGTATTTTGACTTGAATCCTTTAAACCAGAAATTTTTTTTTGCCATGTTGTCCCTATTTTCTTTGGAAAATGTATACAAAGAATAATATCTTGATCCTAAAAATTTAAAAAAGTAAGATTAATCAATTATAATTTGTTTCCTGGATACGGGAGAGGCACAGGATTTAATGAGAAATACTTACCTGTTATTCTGTTTCCAAATATCCGAGTTCTGTTTAAACCGAATGACTTCCTCGAATGTACTAACATCCAAAATCTCTTTTAAAACTTTTTTGCAGCAAACTTTTAAGTTAAACGATTCTACATCTATCTGTAAAATTGCTAAAAAAAAATCGAATTTAGTGCATTTTCTATTACTGATGTAATTTCCATCGACATTTTCCCGGTCATGGTTTGAAAAGATGTCATTTCATGGGGACCTTTCCTGAAAAGAAAAAAATATTTTTATAATTTTAACTACCTTACATTAATGGCATGCTAAACTTGAGTCAGGACAAGCAGCAATTAAGGTATTAAAACAATGGTTTTTATTTTCCTGGCATAAACCTTCTTTATTTTTAACTTTATCCTTGTAGCATAACGTTTCTAGAAGTGGCATTGCTTCGTACTGTTCCTGAATAGTTTTTTTTTATGTGTCTAGTAGCATTTTACATCCGTACTAGATAGTTTTTCCAAAGTAGTAACATTAGATCTAAAAATATACAAATGAATTTAAAGTGAACTCCGAATCAAATCTCAGTTTTAGGTACAATCTATTAATAATTACCTAGTACACTTTAATAAAACTGCACTTATATGTTTATAAGGTCTACATAAACCGGCCTTGCAGGTGCATGTAAACTCGCTGATCCCCAGAATATTATTTTCTTTAAAAATAAATTTCCCATTTATTTCATGAGGGTTGCTTTTGATTGCACTGGTTTGTAGGCATAGAGCTAATATTTTCACATATTCTTCATTTTTGGATGATGTGCCAAGTGTTTGCAAAAATATATTGTGATTTATTCGTGAATCACCCTGTAAAAATAAATATTTTAAAATGTCCTTTTTCATGAACATCTGAACAAAAATTATTTTAAACTTTTATATAATAATAATAATAATAATAGTTCTTTATTTCAGGAGTATGTTACAGATACATAAAACGAAATAGAGTCAAACAAAATTTATTAACAATATTGTCTTAGGTCATCAAAAACTCATTTAGATTATATGGTTCTCTGTTAACTAAATATATAAATAACACTTTCTTGACTTCTGTCAATTCATTAATTGTTTTAATATATCTGGAGAGACTGTTAAATATTTTGATACAATTATAGTAGGCTCCACGTTCTGTCATTGTAAATTTGTGGTGTGGATAGACATAGTCTTGGTTTCTAGTGAGATATACCGACTGCGATTTACTAGTGTCGAAAAGATGTTTGTTTTTAATAAAAAACAAAACACATTCCTGTACATAGATTGCTGTCAATGTTAAAAATTTATTTTGTTTAAACTTTCCTCTACATGAGTCTCTACTCATTCCTAAAATATTTCGCAGAGCTCGTTTTTGGCAGATAAATAATCTTTTAATTTCAATACAACTTCCATAAATTATAATACCATACCTAATATTACTTTCAATTGTAGAATTATATACCATTTTTAAGGTTGAAAAATCTAGATATTTCTTTAATACTCTAAGACTATATGTCGCTCTACCAAGTTTTTGTCGTGTGTACTCCACATGATCAGACCAAGACATGTTGTTATCCAACACCATTCCAAGAAATTTGACACTTTTCTGTGGGGCCAGTAAAACATCATGTAATGTGAAACTTTGTGGTTCAGCAATTCGTGACCATTTATTTTTAAAAAGTAGTAGATTTGTCTTTTCCCTATTTATAATCAATTTATTTTTTGTAAACCACTCATTTCTCACTTCAAGAATATGGCTTGCTCTTTGCTCCAACTGCATCATTGTACCACTTTTAACCAGTATATTCGTGTCATCGGCATAAGTTGTTATAGGGCACCAGTCCACATTTTCACTTATTTCCTCTATATTATTGATATATAGCACAAATAGAATTGGCCCCAGTACGCTTCCCTGTGGAATTCCTAGACCTACATATTTATCATCAGATATAATTTGTTCTTGACCATTTTTTAATTTAACTCTTTGTATTCTCTGATCCAGATATGAACTAATCCATTTTAGTGATGTTCCTCTTACACCATATTTGTCTAATTTGTTTAACAATATATCATGATTTAACGTATCATATGCTTTTGACAGGTCTAAAAATAATCCCAATGGTCAATTAAGTCAATCTATCTTTTCAGTTTGAAGAAAAAATAACTCAAATCAGCAATTCTCCACTTTAACGCCCTGTATCTCGAAAACAAGTCATAGTATCGGATTTAAAATTCATACTTCCTAAAACGATATTAAAATTATTTTATATTGAGAAAATGGTTACATTTGACGAAGGAAATTTTAGAATGGTTGAATGGTTTTTCGTACTTTTCTTAATATAAAATAGCTCCCAACAAATAAATCATCTTGTATATTTTGAAGCTTAAAGGTACATATTTAGTGATATTACCTTTTCCAAAATTCAACTCATAAGTACAGGGTTTTGAATTAATCGTTAAAAAAATAATTTTATGTTGTGGTTCTCTCTATAAAACACCCTGTATACGAAATGTGTACTGTGCAATATTTTGTCGTCAAAATATCATATTGAGTATTACTTTTTGAAAATATGCTTCTCTGACCGCACAGTAGAATTAGTGTGATTTTACAAAAAAATTACCGTCATACATTTGTGAATCACCCTCTAATTATACATATTTTTATTTGTGCGTATGTACTAATCTGTTACTAAAACTCACAGTAAACGTGTGTATGCATCAGAAATTCAATCTAGCCCGTAAGTTTGCAAATAAAAATTCCCAAAACTGGGCAATTTTCAACTAGTCATAGGATTGAGTTGGGCTCATTGACACTTTTGGTTACTAGGTTGACTACAACAACAGATCAGAGTTTCAGAAAATTTGACGGGTCGCTACTTCGCATAAGAAAAGTGCGGAGTCCTGAATACAACAAAAAATAAAGAGACTTTTATCGTTTACAATAATTCTTATTTGAACAATTTTTGGTCATACTTTATTTACAAATATACTTAAATATTAATAATTATTAACAAAGCAATAGCTTTGTATATTTGTCTCATTAAGAATGGGACACAAAATAACTAAAGATTCCCTGATTGAAAATAAGACTACTAACCAAATATGTTTAGATAAAAGATTACCCGTTTACTAAATACATGGTGTTAAAATTGAAATTTAAAAAATAATTAATAACTATAATTTTTTATTTCTCAGTATAATTTTAATAAATTTAGTAAACATTTTTGGTATCATAAGATACACCAATCAGCAAAATAACCAATTAACCATGCGTACGGCATAAATAAGTAATACTTTCATCCCAAAACCTATTTGGACTATATTTTTACTTTTTTGATATTTTTTAAATATATCATGTAATTTTGTTGGAAATTCATAAAGTGATTGGATTTTAAGATATTTACACTCAAATTATCAATGATTTAAAGCCTATTAAATTTATAATCATTAATAATTTCTTCTGAAGGTCCAGATCAAATAAAAACCTATTACCTTTAGCAGGAATATTTAAATAGTCTGGCATATCAGATTTTTTATCGGGTAAAAATTTATTAGATTTTAAAGTTTTCCATATATTATTAACTCAATTGATTTTTCTACACATCTACTTTATTTATTAAACTGTTCTAACCCTTTATATAACTGAAACATTCCATTCTGTTGTTTCTATGTTCTATTATTAGTATGTACATGAAACCTAGTGTAAGCAAATATTGTTTCACGTGTATATTTTAATATAAATGGTTTGTTTGCGTTATATACCAAGATTGTAATTTTACCGTCACGCCAACTTAACAAGTGAGAAAATAAAATATAATGGTATATATTTAGATTAGAAATTAAAATTGCACTATTATTCTTGAGGCATTTTAAAGATTTATTGTATAATGATAAGAGTTTTATAGCTAATTGGTCTTAATTATTGCATTTTTATTTAAAAGCGATTTTTTTAAGTAATACCATACTAATTTAGTACAAGGTAAATTAAGTTAATCAACCGTTTTAATTGGGGAAATTGATAACAGGGCATTTTTTCTAGAAGGCGCCTCTTATCTGTATCTGTAAAATGTTGAAGGTGGCCTAATCTACGACATTTACGCCAATGTCCATTGTTGTGTTGCCTACATCAGGTATTAAACTTTTTGCATGCTACACTTGGTAATAATTCCAGGAGGACTGTATTTCCATGTGTTCACAAGCCGCTGGCTTTGCATTTAAAAATCAACAATAGAACAATAAACACTTTACCAATAACATGGTTTATTTTTATTAAGAACACCACCCTACATTATTCATTAATTATTTATAATATTTACATATATCTTACACAATACATTTATAAATTATTTAAACGCCATTTCTAAAGGTTGAGACAAGTCCGGGACGCTACATGCCGCGGTTCAAAAAGCGTTACGACTTGCGCATTCATTTCGCGCATACATATTACCAACTGTCTTTCTTTTGCCTAATTATTATTATCGATTTAGAATTTGTGCATTTCTATTGAGTAATAACCGCGTCAGTTATTTTTATTTCATTAGATTTGCCAACCTTGATTTGATTCTTAAGTGAACACAAAATGGGTGGCCTTGAATAATTCCCCCTGATTCTGATACTTATGTTAAAGGTATTTTTAACATTAAGTAATTATCCGAGAGTCCTCTACTTAAAATTACCCAAATAGTCCCTGAGTTATGGCTATTAAAAGTTTATGAAACTGGGTACCTTCTAAGAAGTAACCTGATTCAGACTTTAGGTGCATTGATTAAGGTTAATTCGTGCAAAAATAGTGAATTTTTCTTGACCACACAGTTAAAATCTGTTTAAACTAATGGAACATTAAAATATAACATTCAAAAAATATTGTGTTAAATTTTCATTTAGAAATATTATAAAATACGGAAATGGCGGCAATTATTCGGAAACGTCTAGGAAGAATGTAGAATTGCGGTGCCCCTAACTTGGTGCTGGATTATTAGAAATAAAAAAATCAAAGTTCTTTCGTTAAATAATCGTTTTCCCCAGGTAACGCTGGGAGGGTTTTTCGAAATTTAAATTTTTCACTTTTT